ACGCATCGTCGTGGTGTGGGGGACTAGGCTGGATCCCAGGACCCCAAGATCATGACCTGAGCTGAAGGCAGACGCTTAACCCACTGAGCCACTCAGGTGCATTCACTGTATTTTTAAAATGTGGTATTCAACTAATATTACACTTAGGACTGATTTTATAGATGGGGAACAGGCCCAGAAGGGCAAGTCATTGACCTCAGGTCACTTGGCTGAGAGAAGGCAGAGGCAGGATTTGAACCCTTGATGGCCTTCCAGGACCCCACCTCCCTTGGGGTGAAAGCCCAAACCCCCCCTGTGGCTCCCAGGGCTCCAGGCAGGACCTGTCCCCAAGGGCAGCGGGATCAAAGGCCAAGGAGGGAGGGGACCCGACTGGCGTGCTCACGGCCGCCCTCTGGTGGCTGCGGGGACGGGAGACGAGGGGTGGGAGATGGGGGTGCCAGGGAGGGGGTTGCGCAGGCCCAGCGGGGCTGGACCCCGTACCTGATGCTGTGCTGTCCAACATGCGAGCCTCTGGCACCGGAAATGTGCCTAGTTCACGCGGACCTGCTCTGCAAGTATAAAACACATCGGGGTCTGAAGACGAGGTAGGATGGGGCACCTGGGTGGCTCATCAGCCACCAGCTCAGGTCAGGATCTTGGGGTCCAAGAATCGAGACCCGCAGCGGCCTCCCTGCTCAGTGGGGACCCTGCTTCTCCTTCTGCCTCTGATGTTCCCCCTACTTGTGCTCTCTTGCTGTGTCTCTCTCAAATAAATAAATAAAATCCTTAAAAAAAAAAAAACAACCTTGGTATTAAAAAGAGAATGTTAAGACAGCTCCTTAGCAGTTTTTTATATTGGTTGCATGTTAAAGTGATTTTTGGGGGGGGCGCCTGGGTGGCTCAGTGGTTGTGTCTGCCTTCAGCTCAGGGTGTGATGCCAGGGTCCTGGGATCGAGTCCTGCATCGGGCTCCCTGCATGGGGCCTGCTTCTCCCTCTGCCTGTGTCTCTGCCTCTCTCTCTCTCTCTCTGTGTCTCTCATGAATAAATAAATAAAATCTTTAAAAAAAATAAAAATTAAAATAAATAAATAGAACATATTACAATTAATTTCACCTGTTTCTTTTTACTTTTTTTTTTTTTCTTGCAGCTACCAGGAAGTTTTAAAATTACACGTGTGGCTTCCGTAAGCTTTCCGCCAGACAACGCTAGGTACTTAAGTTATCACTCACTGCCCACGAGGGGACGCTGTGCCCCTGCGATGGGGTCTGAGGATCATGAATCTAAAGGAAGTAGTAGTTCAGACAGTTGCTCCTTTGTGGTTGTTGCTGGCTTGGATCAGCTCTTAGGACTCAGACCTATGTTTGCCATCTGCTATCGCTCACCCGCTAAGGGACACAGAGCCACCGTGGGTGAGGAGTCTGCCTCATTTGATTTGGCCAGGGTGGGCAGGGGGTGAGGGGGGAGGAATTAGGCCTCCAGAGGCAACTCGCAGATTGTGCAGCATTTATTGTATCGACGCATTTATACGTCACGCTCGTTTAATCTAAGGTGATTTCTGCAACGAATTCATCCAACAGACGAGGGTATTTTTCCTGTTCCCAAATGAGAACACGGAGGCTCAGAGAAGGAAATTGAGCTGCCCAAGAGAGCCCAGCAACTAGAGTCCCCCTGGCTCCAGTGCCTTCTGGGCCTGTCCCCCGAGCCAGCTGCTTCTCAACCTCTTGGGAACTCTTGAGAAGTGTTGAGCAGACATGGCAGCGAGGACACTCTATCGGGCCAGCTCAGCGGGGCGGTCAATAATTAATTCTGAATTTTCCCCATTTATCACAGTGGCAGGAGCCGGAGTGCGCGGAATCCTAATCCCAAACCTCCGTGCCCCTTGGCCACCTGGAGCTGAACACAGTGGTGATAGAGCAACTAGGGTAGGGTTCCCCCCCGCCCCCCGAGTCCGGGAAAGGAGGGTGTTCCTGGCTCCCCGCTCCCTCGCACTGGGTTATTAAATGCTGCGGGATCCAGCAGTGGCCATCCCAGCCTTCAGTGCCCACAGGCTGGTGGGAAAAATACACATTGAATAAATAAGAATATAAATAATTAACGCCACAAAGGAAGAGAACGGGATGGTGTGAGAATACAAAACTGGGGGACATGACTTGTTTAGGGCCTCCTCAAGGACGTGCCATTGAACACGCAAATCGGAAGACGAAAAGTGAGGACGGGAGATGGTGCTGTATACGGAGAGACAGCACATGCAAAGGCCCAGCGGCTAGGAAGAGTTTCTCCCATGAGGGACCCAGCAAAAGGTTGCATGGGTCTGGAGCTCAGAGCGTTCGTGTGAGGTCAGTGCCAAGTCAGGAGCCCTCAGAGCCAGGCCTGGAGCCCTCATGGGGAGGCCAGCAGCCTTCAGCAGATACCAGGAGCCATCAGGGGAAGAGACAGACGCGTTTCCCTAATGTTCTGGCGGACAGCAGTAAGGCTGCTTCCACCTCAGGTGAGTCAGATGGCAGGCTCTGCGATTCTTTTGTTCTGTTTCTTCTTACAACCCCCCCTTTTTTTCCCTTGGAGGCTTCTTTCAAACCCATTTGAAAGTGCGGGGATGAGTCAGGGTTGCTCTGCCAACAGATAGTCTACACCAGGCGAGCAGCTCCTGGCCCAGCCACCCGACACCCCTGCATCCTTGGACAGCTGGGAAAATGGAGGTGCACAGGAGGTCAAGGATCCCCCAAGGGGGTGCAGCGGAGGAGGACCGCGGGCCTAGCCCGGAGGGGGGCAGCCTCCCACCCCACAGCTCTCGTGTCCTCTGCGGAGCCTCCAGCCTCCTGAGGGTCAGCAAGTGGGTGTCTTGGTCACCACGCTGTCCCCAGCGCCCTGCAGGTTGCAAGTGTTTGGACCAACAATTGTTATTCATCCTTCCTGTGGCTCTTGATAACGCCCCAGAGGTCATGCTCCGGGCGTGAAAGAGGGTCCCTCTTTGATAGGGGACAGGAGAGAGAGATATACAGGAATGTGGAAGGAGAGAGACAGAGAGAGATACATGGCCAGAGATACGGGGAGAAACAGAGACGGAGAGGAGACAGCTGGAGATAACCGGAGAGACCCAGACAGAGATACTGGACAAAGGCAGAGACCAAGAGACAGGAAAAGCAGCAAACTGAGTGAGACACAGAGTTGGAGAGACAGAGAGAGAGAGAGAGAGAGAGAGAGTGTTTGTGTGTGTCTGTGTGTGCGCGCCGTGTCAGGGCCACCACTCCCTGAATAGGGGTCTTTGTGTGAGTTACAAAACGCTTCCCCTCAGCTGGGTGCTTTGGTGCAGTCAACAACCCGCCCCACTGTCTGTGGCAGCTGGAGGCAGGGTCCGTGTGGGTATTTCCAGCAGCCAGCACCCGGGCGCCAGGCACACAGAGGGCAGTGTGCCCAGTGATCAAAGGAGCAGAGTCCGAGGACGCCGAGACCCTGCTTGGAGTCACGGAGGGGGGGTGGGGGCAGAAGAGGATTGACTCTGAGGGGCTCTAGGCACTGGCGGTTTCTGGCTGAGCCTGGGATGCCTCCTCTGGGAGCCACCTGGATTTACTTGCTGACGTGGAAACAGGGGAAGAAGGAAATGTGGATAAAATGTCCGTGTAACGTGCCCACTGACAGGTAGTCCAGGCGGGCAGGGTGGAATGTTCCTCCGGGAAGCTCCTTTTTATTTTTATTTTTTAAGATTTTACTTATTTATTCATGAGAGACACACAGAGAGAAGGTGGAGACACAGGCAGAGGGAGAAGCAGGCTCCATGCAGGGAGCCCCATGCGGGACTCGATCCCAGGTCTCAGGATCACGCCCCGGGCTGAAGGCGGCGCTAAACCCCTGAGCCCCCCGGGCTGCTGTCCGGGAAGCTCCCACCTGTCTTGATGTCAAAGCCTCGCTGGTTGGAAGAGCCACCTTGGTTTGACAGTAGCAAGGCCTGTGGTAGCCCGTGTCTTTAGCCTACGAGGACCCTTTGGGAACCTCCCCCCGGCCCCCAAAGTACATAATCAGCTGTCCCCCACCCCGACCCCGGTGCAGCAGCGCTCCTTGTGCCCACCATTGTCGTGTCCCTGTGCTTCAATAAAGCCATCATTTCGGGGGCACCTAGGTGGCTCAGGCCGTGACCCCGGGGTCCTGGGATCGAGTCTCCCATCAGGCTCCCCGCAGGGAGCCTGCTTCTCCCTCTGCCTGTGTCTCTGCCTCTCTCTGTGTCTCTCGTGAATAAATAAATAAAATCTTTATTTTTTTTAATTTTTATTTATTTATGATAGGCACACAGTGAGAGAGAGAGAGACAGGCAGAGACACAGGCAGAGGCAGAAGCAGGCTCCATGCACCGGGAGCCCGACGTGGGATTCAATTCCGGGTCTCCAGGATTGCGCCCTGGGCCAAAGGCAGGCGCCAAACCGCTGCACCACCCAGGGATCCCAAATAAAAATCTTTAAAAAAACAACCCACAACACCATTTTGCACTGAAGATGTCTCAAGAACTCTTTCTTGGCCTGGGTCGTTGGCCCCAGACCCCACAGAACCTCACCTGTATTCCCCAACGACATCACCTGGCCACCCAGGAGCCACCCCCACCCCCAGGACTCTGGGAGCTCAGGCCAGGTGGGCGGTGAGGCGGGAGGTGGGAGGCAGGAGGCAGGAGGCGGCCCCTCCCCGGGACGCCTTGGGCCCCAGAGAGAGCTGGTGGCTGCCAAGTCTCACTCGAAACTCCTTGCAGCCCAGACTTGCTCCCGGGGTGGAGCCAGGAGCCCCAATGAGAGAGAGGCTGGGTGTGGGTGGGGGTGTGGGTGGGGGCGGGCGGGCTGCCCCTTTGTTCAGGGCCCAGGGAGGGGAGGGCCCGGTTGGGGTCAACCAGAACCTGAGTCCAGAGACAAGGTGTCCCTGCAGGAGCTCAGAGCTTGCACAAAGTCCTGGAGGGTGGGTGGGGGGGAGCGAGGGGTGGCCCAAAGACGCGTTCCCCTGAGCAGGGAGAGGACCCAAGGCCCAAGTTAGGGAGCTTGAACTGATTTCGTGTTGAGACACTTCATCTTTTATTCATATGCACTCAAAGATGGCCCTTCTATACCTGGTCCCAACCGGATGGTGACATGACCCTGACCCGGGGGTCCGAGGCAAGACTCACCAGGCTGGCAGGACCTACACCCTTCCCAGTTCCCTGCGTCAGGCCCGAGCCAGCGGGACGGGAAGCCCCAGGACTGTAGAGCCCACAGGGAGGGGGTCGCTAGTGCTGGGGCCTTGAAGATCTAGGAGTGTGCCACGTGGAAAAGACCTGGAAGGGCATTGTGGGTAGAGAAGTGCATATGCCAAGGTCCGGAGGGGTGTCATAACCAGCTCAGTGGGCAGGGATGCTGCGGCCCTCAAGCAGCCGGGGATGGACCATGGAGAGATCTCGGGTAGCCAAAAACCAGAGGGAAGCAGAGCCTCCTCTTGGAGGATCAGAAATGACTGCACAAAGAAGGGGGGCATTGCAGCTGGGCTTTGCAGGATGAATAGGAGTTTGCCAAACAGAGAAGGTAGGGCATGCGAACTGGCAGTGGCCAGAAGTCAAAGAGCATGCTGATGGGAGAAGCACCAGAAAGGAGGATGGGGGGAGCCCAGTCCCTCACGGTCAGATCTCTCCAGATCCAAGCTCGGGGCAGCCTGCTACTTGAGGCTAAAAAACTCCAGGATGGTTTCCCGGGGGCTCTGACAAGCCCTGCCAGGCCCGGAGTCCCAGCCCCTAAATCAAAGTCCCGACTGCTATGGCCACTGTCCTCTCTCCTTCTTGGGTACCAGGCTCTGTCCGCTTTGCTCCCCTGGTGGGGACACCACTTTCTACCTGTGGCTCTGAGACCTCAGGCCAGACCTGCGCCTCCCTGTATCTCATCCGGAAAATGGGAGCACTGAGTGTGCGAGCTACTTTTGTCGCTTTTTGCGGCTTTTTGCGTTCGCCTCAGGGCTAGGAGGCCTCCTGGGAACCAGGGAAGGAAGAAATGCAGTGAAAGGAATAAAGGGAAGGAGGGGGAGGGGAATGGAAGGGAGGAGGGGGAAGGAGAGGCTGTGCCCTCCTCCTCCAGGCCGAGGCAGACAGCGACCGACAGGTCCAACATTATTATTTCAGAACACGCCTGGGCTGTCGTGGCTTAAGAAATGGTGGCGATTTGCATGTGATTTGCATATTGTTTGTTAAATGTCAAAACGGCCTGAAAGGCTTCCCCTGCCCCCACCCTCAGTCAGGAAGCAGGAACCCCTCCCCTTCCTCCATCGGGGACCCCCGCGTGGGCTGGGACCCCTCAGTTCAGGGGCTGCTGGGGCAGCGGCCCAGGGAAGGCTGACCTTGGACACCCCATCTGTAAAATGGGCCAGAATCCCGGCCACCACCACGGGGCAGTTATCACTCAAGCCCAAGCCCCCAGAGGGGCAGGAGGCGGCCCAGGGTCTGGCCTTGGTAGGGACAGAGGAATGGAGCGGGGTGACCATCAAGAGACCCAAACCAGGCAGGAGGAGGGGTCGGGGCTCCTTTCCCCTTCGCTTGCCCTGCAAGCAGCTGAGGCTTCAGTTTACCTGCTACAAAAGAGGAAGTTGGAGGCCCTGCCCTAGGGGGAGCCCCAAGGAACGGGGCACTGGGGTCTCTGGTACCTGGTCTTGGACTGCCCACCAGGCGGTCGGAGGGACAGGCAGAGCCCGGGTCCCCCACACTGCACCTCTGGCACCCCAAGGTCCCCGGGGGGTGTAGTCAATCTGTCACCCACCCGTCCACGCTCGGGGCCTTGCGGCCACCACTACTCTTAATTAAAACATTATTTCTTCACAGGCCCCCTGAGGCCCCTGCCTTGAGCCACCCAGCACCTGGACCGTGGACGTGGCTCTCTGGGGAGCCCATACACCCGCGCCTCCCCCAACCCCCTCCCCCTCCCCGCTGCCCCGGGGTGGCCCTGTGCAGAGGGCCTGACCACAGGTGGCGCCAGGCAGGGGGCCCACGGGGGCCCAGCGCTCTACCTGGTGGGTCTTGTCCCCAGAGTCCCCACAACACACCGCACAATCACCAGTCACCGCCAGTGCCTCATGGCCTTAGGGACACAGCTCCCCTGGCCCCGCCCACTTACCCAAAGCCCTTCAGACCCAACCAGGAGACCCCGTGCATGGGACAAAGCAGCGGGGTTCAGGGGATGAGGACACCGCCAACGGAGTGGGCACAGGCCTGCCGTGGGGAGGTGTCTGGGGCTAGGGGCATGCACCGTGTGATGCTGCAGAGCCAGGGGAGGGCTGGGGTCCGTGTCCCCACTGCAGTCATTGGAGATTTCAGCAGTATTGGCTGCACCCCCTCGCCCCCCGCCAGCCAAGGCTGTTCACAGTAGAGGGGGCTTGTGAGCCCCAAAAAGGACAAAGCGCTCACTGGCTGGTGAGGAGGGAGCCCCAGAAGACTTCCTGGAGGAGGCTGAATCCCAGGTGAGTCGGAGTGGCACAAAGGAGTGTGAAAGGTGCTTCAGGCCGGGGAGGGGGGCACCTCCTGGGCACAGATGTGGCCTCGAGCAAGTACGAGGTAGGAGGGATGGTGGCGCCGAGCTCGTCTCCTCCGTGTCATACCCTCTGGCTGCGCTGGGGAGCCCTCCGCGATGGCACGCTGGTTCCCACTGCAGACTGGCGCTCCAGGCCCCGAGGCGGGGAGCCAGGGCTTCGGGGTCAAAGAGGCTCCCCATCCCCTTGGGTCAGCGGCAGGTTGGATCGGAGGCAGCCGCTGGTCAGGCGCTCAGGCCGGTACTTCACCGGACACCCCGGAGCCCGGCACTTGCGAGGGCAGCAAGGAGGGAATAAAACGCTGTCAACTGGGCCGTGGAGGGGCCGGCTCCTGCGTCCCGGGGCCCTGGGGCCTCCAGGGGGACAGCGAGGCCACGAGCTTGGGTTGGCCGATTGGAGCCACGTGGCCACGGCCTCAGGGACAGCAGGCAAAGAGTGCAAGGCAACCAAAGCGGCCAAGCAAAGCCCACTTCCCTTCCCAGGGGTGCAAAGAGGGTAACGGGGCGGGGCGGGGGGGAGCGTTGCGCTGCCCAAAGTTGCAGGGCGAGTCAGGGCAATGTCATTCCTGTTGGGGCCACACACGTTAGTCTGAACGTAACTCAGAAGGTAAGGCCCGTGTCCTAACTCGAGGGGCAGGAATCCCGGAGGAGTGGAGTGGGTGAGAGTCACCAGAGGTGAGTCCCTTCTCTCTCTGGGCCTCAGTTTCCACTCTCTGTGGTCTCTATAATCTGTAAGGTCCCTTCTGCATTAGAAGTCCCAGAGATGGGATCCCTGGGTGGCTCAGTGGTTTCGCACCTGCCTTCAGCCCAGGGCCTGATCCTGGAGTCCTGGGATCGAGTCCCATGTTGGGCTCCCGGCATGGAGCCTGCTTCTCTCTCTGCCTGTCTCTCTCTCTGTCTCTCATAAATAAATAAAAATAAATCTTAAAAAAAAAAAAAGAAGTCCCAGAGATTTAGGGACGCCCAGGGTTCTCAACAGTTGAGCAGTTGCCTTTGGCTCGGGGCATGACCCCGGGGTCCTGGAATCGAATCCCGCATCGGGCTCTCTTCAGGGAGCCTGCTTCTCCCTCTGCCTATCTCTGCCTCTCTCTGTGTCTCTCATGAATGAATTGATAAATCTTAAAAAAAAAAAAAAAAAAGGAGTCCTAGAGACTTAGGGGCCCCTGGCTGGCTCAGTCGGTAGAGCACTCGACTCTGGATCTCAGGGTTGTGAGTTCGAGGCCCATGCTGCATGTAGAGATTACTTAAAAATTAAAAAAAAAATCTTACCAAAAAAAAGAAGTACTAGAGACTTACCCAGAGTGAAGGCAGGGGTCCCAGGAGGCACCTCCAGAGGTGCCCCCAACCCCAGCCTGCTCCTCAGCCAGCACCCCGAGTCCCCTGGGTCATGGCTCCACCTCCTCCAACTACCTGAAGGACCGGGACACAAAGACACAGGTTACAGGCCAAACGCAACCCTCCCCTTGGCGCTCAAAGCCCTGATGGGCTCAGTGTCGGGCCAGTGCCTCACCTCCAGGACTGACACCCTCCCGCCCTCACCTCCACGAACCATCCGCTGAACCCGCGTTTACTGAGGACACGCTATGTGCCCCACGCTGACCTGGGAACCCAGGAGTGACAGCAGGGAATGCCCTCAGAAACGCCCTCGCAGAGCCTACGGTCTATGGTCTACGGGGTCTACGGGGTCTACGGGAGGAGATGGGGTGAAAAATGTAATAAAACATCAGGAAGCAGGCTCCTGAGAAGTGCCGGGCCTGAGAAGTGGCCTGAGAAGTGCTTGGGAGAAAGATAAAGCAGGGGTGGGGGTGGGGCACGTTGGCAGGATGCAATTTTAAGCCAGGGGTAGTCCGGGAGTCCTGGGAGATTGCCCTGAGATAGTATCTGAGCAAAGGCCCAGAAAAAAAAAAAAGAGCAGAGGGAGGGAGGGAGGGAGGGAGGTGGGTGGAAAGCATTTCCAGACAGATGGAACAGCCAGTGCAAAGGCCCGAGGCAGGACCCCGCCTAGATAGTTGAAAGAACAGTGAGGTGGCTCTATCCTAGTTCCTAGTATCCTGCCATCACTTACTGGGGACTCTGCCCTGGTCCCCAGGCTTCTGTCCCCAACCCTCCCACCCCCAGTCTGTCCTCCCCACAGTGGCCCCCAGAGAGCGTCTGTAAGCTCCCGAGTCCCGTCCTGCCTTCCTCTGCCCACAGCCCAGGGCTCCCAGGTGCCTTAGGGTAAAAACCCAAATCCTCCTTTTGGCCCCCAAGACCCACCCTCCTCCCCTCCCTCTCTCCCCCTCACTCACTCTGCTTCCGTCACACACCCCTCCTCACTGCCTCTAATACACCAGGCTTGGTCCTGCCCCAGGGCCTTTGCACAGACGGTGCCCTCTGCCCAGACCATTCCTCCCCCACATAACCACTTGGTTCCCTGCCTCACGTACAGTAGGACTTTGCTCAAACTGTCACCTTGTCAGTGAAGCTGTCCCTACAACCCTGTTTAAAATGACACCTCTCAGGGCACCCTGGTGGCTCAGTGGTTGGTTAACCACTGGACTCTTGGTTTCAGCTCGGATCATGGTCTTGCGATCTTGGGACTAAGCCCTGCAGCGGGCTCCGTGTTCAGTGTGGAGTCCACTTGGGACTCCCATTCCCTCTCCCTCTGCTCCTCCCCACCACCCCACCCCGCGTGCACACGCGCTGTACTCTTTCTAAAATAAATGAATAAATCTTTTTTTTTTTTAAAAAACAACTCTCGGGGATACCTGGGTGGCTCAGTCCGTTAAGCATCTGCCTTCGGCTCAGGTCAGGGATCCCAGGGTCCTGGGATCCAGCCCAGGCCAGGCTCTCTGCTCAGTGGGGAGCCTGCTTCTCCCCCTCCCTCTGCCCCCTGCTGCTCTCTCTCTCAAAGGAATAAATAAATAGATAAATCTTTAAAAAAAAATGACAACTCTCACCCCACCACTCCCAAATCATCCCCGAGGGCCTGGGGAGGCAGCTCTCCCACTCCACCCCCAGCCCCCAGGACAGGTTTCCGAGGCTCCCACCCTCAACGTCACCCCAAGCTTGCCAGATCAGACCTTAAGGGCCGAGCCCAGTGAGTGTGACCCCCAGAAGCTCTGGGGTTACGCATCCTGGCTCGGGTCCAGCCCCTGCCCTACACCTCCAAGGTGGCATCTGTGGCTCTGGGACCGCCCCCTGCCCATCTCCACCAGCTCACTGTCCCTGCGGCCACCTACCGGCCTCCACCACTTTGCAGAGCTCCCCGGGCCTCCCCACGAGCTCTCTGCAGAGCCCTCCTGGGGCAGAGAGGTGTCCCCTCATGTGTCACCTCCGCCAGGGCTAGGGGCCTCTCTGGAAAGGTCACATGGCCAGGTCAGAGTGCGGGCAACAAGCATCAGGGCAGGACTGTGAGGATGGGAGAGGTGGTGAAGGAGACAGAAGGGATGAAGGGACAGGAAGGCCAAGAGACTCAGACACAGGGGTCCGTGCAAGGAGAAGCCACAGGGACGCCACGGACAGAGATGGAGAGACAGGAAGCGACGGGAAGCGCACCCCTGACAGAGGAAGGCACCGAGACAGGGGGACCGTAGAAGGGACTGGGCAGGTCAGAGGGAGGGGACAGAGCAAGGAAAAGGAATCAGGCAGGGGAGCCCCTGCCCAGGCCTCTCAGCACCTGGCTGTCTCCTGTCAGCTGCTTCCCAGAATAGCCTGAGCTCGGGCCCTGGGGATGCCCTGGTCCACCCTCCTGCCCCCATGTCACCCCATTCCCAGGGCCTCCAACCTCCCTGCAGCTGGGCCCCACTTCCCACCAGGGACAACGGGCCCCAAGTGGGCCCCATTCCCACCTTGGACCACACCCTGGACCCTGGGCCAGGTTCCACTCTCCACCCTGGATCCCAGGCGGGCCCTCCTGCCTTCTCCCAGCCGGGGCCCCACTCTTTACCCCAAACCCCAGCGGGGGCCCCACTCCCCACCCCAGACCCCACCCCAGACCCCAGCTGGGGCCTTCAAACCTTCCCCCTGCCTGCCCTATTCTCCACCCGGGACCCCAACCGGGCCCCACTCCCCACCCAGGATCCCAGCCCCGGCCCCACTCTTCACCCCAAACCCCAGCGGGGGCCCCACTCCCCACCCCAGACCCCACCCCGGACCCCAGCTGGGGCCTTCAAACCTTCCCCCAGCCTGCCCCACTCCCCACCTGGGACCCTACCTGGGCCCTGCCGCCTCCCCCCCCAGCCTGCCGCACTCCCCGCCCCGGCCCCCACCTGGGGTCGCTGACGAGCAGCAGCACCGAGCCGTCCTGCAGGCGCACGTCGCGCACCGTCTGGTGGTCGTCCAGCCGCCGCGCGTTGTAGTAGAAGGTGCGCTTCCAGGAGCTCACGCCCTGGCCCACGAGCTGCGCGCGCAGGTCGCTGAGCGTGTCCCGCGGCCGCACGGTGAGCGGCAGCAGCAGCGCCTCGTCCGCCAGGTGCACCTTGATGTGGTAGCGCTTCCAGCGCGACAGGCCCCGCCGCAGCCCCTCCATGGCCCCGCGGCCCTGCCTCCGCGCCCGGCCCGGCCCGGCCCGGCCCTCCCTCCCCGGCTGCCCGGGCCGGCGGGCGGGGACCCCGGAGGGCGGGACGCGGCGGAGCCTCCCCTCCTGCGCCGGGGAAGGACGCGATGGGTCGGGATAGGGACGCGCGCGGTGCCGCGGCTGGTGGGGAGGGCCGGGCGGGCGAGGCGGAAGGGAGGAGGAGACTGGCGGGCTATTTTAGACCGAGATGAGGGCCAGGGGCGGCCTCTCCCGGGAGGTGGCGTTTGGCCCGAGTGAAGGACGCCGAGTGCGTGCGCCAGCCCCGGAACAGAACTGCGGGCGAGAGGGCGCGGCCAGTGCAAAGGCCCCGGGGCAGCCCCCCCCCCCACCAGGCCTGCTGGAGGCGGTGGCCGCAGGAGAGGGAGCAGGGGAGGGCGGGAGGTTACAAAGGCAGGTTGGAGGCAGGGAGAGGGACGCGGGCTTTCACCCCGAGGGAGGTGGGAGCCCTCCAAGGCTATGGGCAGAGGAGGGAAGCGGCTGAAGTTTATATTTGTTGCTCCTTATTTCCTTCAGGACACATTCAGCAAGCACCCGCTCTGTGGCTGCGCCCGGCTGGGCAGTGCTGTGCACCAGAGAAATGTCAGTCTAAGGCCACGCCCTCACGGGAGTCCTAGTTGGGGAGGTCAGGTCGGAGAGCAGGACAGGGACACTCCCAGCCTTACATGGTCAAGGCTTGAGAAGTAGGAGATCCCGGGCTGGGAAAGGCCAGTAGGTGGGGATGGCTTCCCAGATGGGTGGGCACTGGAGCTTGGGTTTGGCAGATGAGTAGGAGTTCAACACTCCCACCAAGGAGGCTCCTGCCCACGATCACCAGCTCAGCTCAGGGTGTGCCTAATGGGGAAAAGCAGTAATGAAGACTTACTAGTAGCAGCCACAGGAGGTTGTGATCAGGGGATCTCCTTCCACCCCAATTCCTTGCTTGTCCTCTCCCACCCTTTCTTGGGCCCAGCCAGCCTCTCCAGTCACACTTACCCAAGAAGCCTTCCCTGATTGCTGCCTGTTCCTACTCACTGTCATACCTGCCAGAACAGGACTGACCAGTTCTGTGTATCTAGGATTCTTGCTTGACCTCAACGACCCTAAGTCTGTACTTAAAAGCCATTGGGAAGTCATCCTCCTCCTCCTCCTCCTCCTCCTCCTGCTCCAGCACTGGCCAGGAGGGTAGAACAGAGGGAGGGAGGGAGGCCAGAGCGGGACGAGAGAGTGGCTCCAATCCTGACCCCGACCCTTGACAGTCCCTGATGAAGGAACCACCCTCCCTAGTCCTTGAGGTCCCCCCCCTTGCCAGTGGGATTGTTAGGAGGACAAGTTGCTGCAGGTGAAGCACTTAGAATGTTCCTAAAGTGGAGTCACTCGCTAATTGGTGATGCTGAGTAGTCACAGAGAAGTGCAATTTGACTCCACAAAGGAAAGCAGATAAAAACAAACAAAAGGCACTGACACTTTTCTCTCCCATTTTCCAAATGAGTCAACTGAGGCACAGAGGATGAGTGACTTCCCTAAGGATATGCCATGAAAAATGACAGAGCCAGAACCGCAGCCATCATCAGATTTCAGATGTGGATTTTAGAAGTGACTAAAAGCCAGGAGCCTGGGTGGCTTAGTTGGTTAAGCATTGGGCCCTTGATGTCATCATCTCAGGTCATGATGTCAGGGTGGTGACAATGAGCCCCGAGTCAGGCTCTGCGCTGAGCGTAGAGCCTGCTTAGGATTCTCTCTCTCCTCCACCCCTGCTGATGCTCCCTCCCTGTCTCTCTTAAAAAGAAAAAAAAAGTAACTAAAAGCAAAATAAATTTTAGATGGTTCCCCACCCCCTGACTGAAGCTTCCTCCCCCATAAAAAAAAAAAAGACAGAAACTATAAAACTACTAGAATAAAACATGGGAGTTCAAAATAACAATCCCAGTGTGTTGAAGCATGACATTAAGCCCTAAAGCCTTTAATTAAGAGATTAGTAATTAACTGGGTACAAGTATAAAATTCCTGCACACACACACACACACACAGATACACAAATACTAGAAGGTCAATAGACAAAGTTAGGGAAACTTTTTCCAAGACATGCTAGACAAAAAGCTGATTTCTTTAATATGTGAAAAGCTTCCAGAAATCAATAAGGACCAACGACCCAATAGAAAAGGCAGCCAAAAACACATACGGCTTTGGGAAATGGAAATACAAATGTCTCCTAAACACATGAAAGGAGCTTATTCTCACTCGTGCTAAGCTAAATATAAAATCAAACCACCATAAAACACCCTTCTTAAAAACTAAATCCTGGGATCCCTGGGTGGCGCAGCGGTTTAGCGCCTGCCTTTGGCCCAGGGCACGATCCTGGAGACCTGGGATTGAATCCCACGTCGGGCTCCCGGTGCATGGAGCCTGCTTCTCCCTCTGCCTATGTCTCTGTCTCTCTCTCTCTCTGTGACTATCATAAGTAAATAAAAATTAAAAAAAAAAAAAACTAAATCCAGCAGGTTGCCTGAGATGAAAAGTTGGGTAATTCACCATGCTGCGGGGCCCCCGTTCTGGGGGAAAGGACAGTCTCAGGCATCGGGGTTCAGGGTTGTGAAATGGCGTAATCTCTCCGAGAAGAGCTAGTGACACGGTAAGCCAGCTGTATCCCTCCTGGGAGGCTATCCACGCGCCCAAGGGTGGACGATGGCGCAAGTGCTGAGCCTCTTGCACGTCATCCCCAGCGAAGTACGAGGCCGAGTGCGTGGAACAGAGTTGGGAAACTAAGGCCCGGGGAGGGGAAGCGCCAGAATGAGGGCGGGCTGGGGTGTACTCTTTCCAGGGCAGGTGCACGGGCTGGTTCTACCTGCAGATCCAGGTCCCGGCCACCTCCCTCGTCAGCTCAAGGCAGGCCTTGTGCATCACACCCGCTGGTGTCTGGAACAGGTCCGAGCAAGGCCCGGGGACGCCGGGCTTCAGCACACCGAGGCCGAGCCGGCCACGCCGAGCCCGGTGAGTGCTGGGTGCCAGTTCCAAGGAATTCAGACTTTCTCATTAAGCGGTTAGGAAAGCCAGGTGGCCGCGGGCCGTCACCCTCCGCCTGGGCCACAGGATTAGAGGGATCATGGTTTCTGCCTCCAGACACTGTATTATCTGTCGCGGGCAATTATGGAGACCCAGGCTGGTGGTGACAAGCTCGGCGAGTCCCTGAGCTCCGGAACCCGGGGAAGCCTCAGAGTCCTGGGATCGCCAACATTGTGGGCGCCTCCGCATGCCCGGCGTTCTGGACTCTCGGGGCATATCCCCCTCCGAACGTTCTAGAGTCGGAGAGCCAGGGTTTAGGATGGAGAACAGCACGTGTCACTTCTGGCCGTCTTGGGACAGAAGGCCCCGCGGGGAATTCAGAGAACGGGCGGGAAGCGGGAAGGGCGGGTGGTCAGAGGCAGGGGGGGCACCCGACGAGGGGGCCTGTGTCCCACCGACGCCGCGGGCCGTGGGAAGACTGGGGGGACGCCCGGCTTGGCGCTGACCTTGACATCGCAAAACTCTGGAATCACAGACACTCTCGTGATGCGGACAAGATTTCTTACCTAGTTTTATCCCCTCGGATCAGAGGCCTCTCGCACCGCAGTGCAGAGGCTGAATCCGGCTTGTTGGGCCGCGTGACCCGCGTGTGAAAAAAGAATTGGCGTGTGAGTGTTTCCAGGTAAGAAGTGGAGCTCCGGGGCGCCTGGCGGCTCAGTCGGTGAAGCCTCTGCCTTGGGCTCAGGTCGTGATCCCGGGGTCCTGGGATCGAGCCCACATGGGGGGGTCTGCTTCTCCCTCTCCATCTGCCTGCAGCTCCCCTGCTTGTGCTCTCTCTCTCTCTCTCCCTCTCTCTCTCTCTGTCAAATAAATAAATAAAATCTTTAAAAAAAGAAGAAGTCGAAGCTCCATTGGAGCCTTCATCCACATAGCAGTTGTGGGCGCTCTGTGGGTGCGACGCGAGTTCTCCACGGTCCCCACCAGCTCCCATTCATGCCTTGACCCCTGAAGGGTGTGCTTGCTCTCACTGGACCCGTGGTAGTACCAACTTTTGTGGTTGTTGGTTTTTTTTTTACATATTTTATTTATTTATTCATGAGAGAGGCAGAGACACAGGCAGAGGGAGAAGCCAACTCCCTGCAAGGAGCCCAATGCAGGTCTCGATCCCAGGACCCTGGGATCACGCGGAGCCAAAGGCAGATCCTCAACCACTGAGCCACCCAGGCGCCCCAGTACTAACTTTTGTATCCCTGTTTTATGACCAAGAAAGTGAGTCCCGGTGGCAGCTGCTTGCTGTTTGCCAAGATCCCCCCACTCCACCCCCAGGAGAGACGGGGGGAACCAAATGGACACTGCCTCCCTGCTTTACAAACAGTTATCCCACTGGGTCCCTGTCCCCAATTCTATGCAGTGGGATACTGTTGTTATCCCATTTCTCAGATGAGAATGGCTCAGAGAGGGAAACCCTGTCCCCCAAGCCCCACCAGGAGACAGGGGCAGACCCCCCTGGGACAGGGCAGGAGTGAACTAAGGGGAGCACTCAGGTCCATCTGGATCTGGGGGGTAAGCAAAAAGGAAAATGTGGTGTGGGGATGGGAATAGCTTTGAGATGGGGATGGAAAGGAGTTCAGATTTTCTACTTAGAGCAATGGGGAGCTCTTGGGAGGGTTTGAAGCAAGGGAGTGGCAAGATCTATTTTTTGTTAGAAAAGTCCCTCTGTGCTGAGTCTACCTCACAAGAGGGATACATTGATCCTTAGCCAAGAAAGGCCTGGTGTCAGGTGACAGTGCTCTCTTCACAGCTACTACTTCTGGGGCCCCTGTCCCCCTCCAATGAAATTCCATAAGAAATTCATTGCAAAGATGTCTGGCCAATGAGGGCTCATGGTGGTCCCTGCTGGTAAACTGTGTTACTCAAGTCTATCTCAAGGAGCATCAGGCTCCTTGCAGGGAGCTGGCTTCTCCCTCTGCCTGTGTCTCTGCCTCTCTCATGAATAAATAAATAAAATATATATATTAAAAAAAAAAACAGGGGATCCTTGGATGGCTCAGCCGTTTCGCACCTGACTTTGGCCCAGGGCGCGATCCTGGAGTCCTGGGATCGAGTCCCACGTCGGGCTCCCGACATGAGGCTTGCTTCTCCCTCTACCTGTGTCTCTGCCTCTCTCTTGCTCTCTCTCTGTGTCTATCGTGAATAAATAAATAAATAAATATTTTTTAAAAAAACAACCACAAAAGTTATTGAAAACAAAAATTGAAAAAAATTGAAAACAGAAGCTATTTGTCACCGACATGTTCAAGAATGATGTTCTTCATATATAAAGAGTCATTAGAAATAAATAAGAATGCTATCTTGGATACACAGAAGACATTGGTGGGAAACTACAATTTAAAAAAAAAAGGGGGATCCCTGGGTGGTGCGGCGGTTTGGCACCTGCCTTTGGCCCAGGGCGGGGTCCTGGAGACCCGGGATCAAATCCCACGTCGGGCTCCCGATGCATGGAACCTGTTTCTCCCTCTGCCTGTGTCTCTGCCTCTCTGTCTCGGTGACTATCATAAATTAAAATAAAAATAAATATTTAAAAAAATAAAAAAATAATAAAAAAGGGATCCTATGCAAAAAGTGTTTAACCATCCTAGAATTTCCTCACTTTCAGTTGAGAAAGATACCTGATATCTGATAATATTAGATTTTTTTGAGGATGCAAGACAATGGGTACTCATGTCCATTGCCGGTAGAAGTTAGTACCATCTTTCCAGAAGGCGACATGAGGAATGAGGTGTATTGAAAGCCTTTGATGATAATAAGCAATTATAATAACTCACCTTTGCTGAGTAACAAATCAGCTTCACTTGTGATGTTTTTCCCCATTTGAACAGAATCCCCCAGGGCAGGGATTCTGGTGTGTTTTGTTCACTGCTGGGTCCCTGGCGCCAGGAACAGCGCCTGGATCTGATTTATATACCC